AATAATAATAATAAAGTTTACAAATTGGAGACTGGACTGTGCTGGAATATTGAGGTTCAAAGAACCCTAAACAAAAATATAGGGGGAAAAGGTGAAGACTTTGTATAATGGAGAGTGCCACCTTTTGACAAAAACTTGAGCTCAAACAAAAGGGAAAGCATCCTGTTTCTGAATGAACTTGTGTGGATATAACACTAAAGAAATATTGAAACAAAGTAAGAATCTTAGAAAGTGAAAGCGGAACCAGAATAAAGAAAAAAGCAAGGAAAGACTGACTGTGGGATTGATTGATGTTTTTGGTATAGACCCGGGGCTGGAATAATTGAGAACTTTAGAAAATTTAAAGAAGAAAGAAGGAAAGTAAAAGTGGGTTTTTTTGTGGACTTTAACGATCATAAAATACAAGAGTGTGTAATGATGATATCTCTTCAGGAATTAAAAATGGAACTTAAAAATATGAGAGAATTACTACAGGAAAGAAGCAGCTCACTTTGCTTTGTGTTAGAAAAAAATGGCAATGGCAATTGAAGAACAAGAAGAAAGAGCTTCAGAGGAGGAGGAGTCGACTCAAGGGGGAAGACATCTTAAATAGACAATTAACACAAAGAACACTACAAAGAAGTGGGGAAAGAAGGAAGGTTAAAAAGTTAAGATTTAAGAAGGCAATCAAAAGAGGGAATACCTGTGAAGTCGGGAAAGGCAGAAAGACCCAGTAGAAAAGGGGAAAGGAAGATATTAAGAAAGAGAGGGATATAAACTGGAATGAGAAAAGATATGGGGAAAAGAGAGGGAGGAGAAGCAGGAAGAAACAGGTACATGAAATAAAGAAATATGGAAATAGTAAAACGTTGAAAAGAAATTGTTTTTTCAGAGATAATGGTTGATGAATTAAAAAGGGGATTCTGCAGGGTGACAAGGGGTAATAAGAATATTTCTGCAATTAAAAATATTTAGAAAATAGGGTAATATAGATACTGATAATTTTTATTAAAAATTAAGGGGGGAAAATATGCTGTGGAATCCAAGTGAAAAGATGTAATGATTATTATTGTAACTTCTTAAAAATAATGGTTTATTGGGAATCAAGATGAGGGAATAAAGGTATATTTTAATCATTGAGGTGTCACACTCAAAGCAGTAAAAGGGGGGAAACCTATACTTGGTTTTTTTTCTTTAGTGTTAAAATTTGTATTAATCTAGAATTTATAAAAAGAATGTGTAATGGAAAGAAAATATGACAGACTAAAAAACCAACTAAATTAATAAGTTAATATAGACTATTAAAAGCAAGGAGAGACATTGGTAACCTTTATTATTATTGTTGTTGTTGTTATTATTATTATTATTATTATTATTATTATTATTATTATTATTATTATTATGCAAACACATATTGCTTATCTTTATTTTTAAAATAAATATTAAAGGATTATATTTGAAATAATTGAAATGAAACAAAAAGATGTTTCAACTGAGATTAATGAAAGAGGCTAGAATTAATGTGTTTGTTTCTCTCCTTACTGAAAATTTAGAATGGAAAAGGTAATAATAGAATTAAGTATGCATATATGAATGTATAATTGCTGTCATATTTGTATGTAAAGGTGATGACCCGGAAATATGTTGTCCACTAAAAAGAGATTTTTGTTTTTAATGTGAAAAATTGAATAAAATTTGTTAAAAAAAGAGAAGAGATTGGACTGCCATTTGTCAGAAATGGTGTAGGGTCTCCCGCTTGGATGAGGGGGTTGGACTAGATGATCTACAAAGTCTCTTCCAACTCTGTTTATCTGTAATCTGTAAAGTTGAGCCATTGTGGCACAGTGGTTAGAGTGTAGTACTGTAGGCTACTTCTGATGATTGCTGGCTGCCTGCAATTTGGCAGTTCAATTCTCACCAGGCTCAAGGTTGACTCGGCCTTCCATGCTTATGGGGTGGGTAAAATGAGGACCCAGATTGTTGAGGGAAATCGGCTGACTCTGTAAACAGCTTAGAGATGCCTGTAAAGCATTGTAAAGCAGTATATAAGTTTAAGTGCTATTGCTGTTGCTATTAAATGCCTGAGAAGCTTCTGCCAGGTTCAAGACTTCTTGGAGGAGGACCTGGAAACCTGGAGGATAAGTGAGACTACACATGGAACACAGTACACAATTTATTTTTAGTAAATGATATTAAGCACTGATTTGTATCTATAGGACCAAAGTCTTTTGTCTAGTGAGAAAAATGGTTAAGTCTATTTCAGGAACAGAAAAAACTTGCATTGCACATTTGTTGCAATCAGCATAACATTTTCCTTGGCCAAGTGGTTGAAGAAAAAGGCACTGAATGATTTATTATCAAACCTTCACCTTTCTTTATAGCTCTGCCTCACCCAGCGTATCTGTTCTGTCCTTTATTGTCTCCAGTGTTTTCTGTCAGTTTGCCAGCCCCACTTAGGACTACTTTTCTTCCTCACTTGTCCCCAAGTGAACGTTCATTAGGACTGCGGTTGACGTGCAAGCAACTCCATAAGTAACTGTTTCTATCCCGCCTCCGTAAGTTAGGTTTGGAGCAAGCTGGATGGAAGGGACAGGCTGTAGTTCTCAAGAAAACTGAGTGAATCGGGGCCTTGATCTCAGAGGAGCAAATGCAGCTTTTCAGTTACTTCCTTTTATTTAAAAGAATTAGACATTTTAATGCCCACAAAAAAAAAAAAAAAAACCCCATTATGGTGTCTACTGAAGAGAAGGAAGTGCCATATTATTCTAGTGGGACAGAAGTTTAACGGAAGAGCAAGTTGTGTTTGTTATTTTTCTAACCCACCCTTTCCTTCAGAGTACTCAAGTAGAGAAACAACTTGCGTGTTTGGCACCAAGAACATCAAAAGCATCCTATAAAAACAAAGCCAGAAAAGCAGGGACAAGAAATCTAAAGGAGCAGTGGAGCCATTGTTTCAGAGACCTCTTGTAGCACATTGATGATTTAATACTTTTAAAAATCTACAATCTCTGGCAAAGATCTTGATTAGACTGACATAGTTAGGACTGCAAACAGTTCATAAAAGCTTTTTTTTTTTTCCTTTTGCCTCTGGGACTTTATCTTCTTTTATCTCTGGATTACCTCCCCCATGTTATCCTCAGCTTTTATTCTGCAAAAACTGTACGCCTTACTCCAAGATATGGCTTCCCTGATTTAAAATAGGACTTTTATTTTTAACATATTTATAATTGCACCGTGGTCAAACAGATATAGAAGTGAGTCCATTGTGAAGCTATGTTCTGTTTCTTTTTATCTCAGAGGATGGATTTATAAAGCCATCCAGAAACATGAATGAATCCTGAACTTGTGACTTTCATTATCCCAAAAGTTGATATAGTTACTATCAAGGTGATATAGATACTATAAAATTAAGGGGAGATGAAACGGTTTATAATCCTTCTGAATGCTGCTGAGTGGTTCATATGATCCATTCAGCCCAGTGATTGAAAAAAGCAGTGATGGCAGAATTACTTTGAAATCTAATTATTTTTCTAGAGATATTTTTTGCTGTAGACAATAAGTACTTGTCTCCAAGCAGCACTGTTGTTGTGAACAGACAAAATTAAATCACTTTACTGAATCAGAAAGCACACAGATCCCATACAAAAAAATAATTATCCCAATGATTTTAAAAAGAAACACTTTTCACTGTTTTCAGTTTATTTATTTTTTTAATCTGGGAAAATATAAAAACCAAAATATAATACAAACAATGAAAACATGATAACAAATACTTGCCCAATGTAGCTTTCTTACTGAATTTGGCAATCAATGTCCATTTCCATATTTATGTAAAATGTTCCATAATTCAAGCCTATTCATTGCATCATAGGGATTCTCCAAATCAACAGACTTGCAATGAAGTTTCTTTCTCACATTCATATATTTCTTAAAGGAGGACAAACATCTGGTGTACACCATTCGTGGCTGGCAGGAAAGCTCATTTGGAAAAGTAGATTGCAATGAATGGATAAGGACATTTTTTAAAAAAATTCTGGAACTGCAGTTGGTAGACAGTAATACGATGGCATCATAGCAACTGGATATTTGTGTGTGTTCATTTTCTGTTTTGGATGTGCAAAGATTTACTCAAGAAGCTTGTGAATCTTTTTAAAATTTATGTTTAGATAAAATTGGTGGCCGATCTTGCTTTGGTGATTTGGTGCTGAATTTAGCCATGCAAACTCTGTAGTTTCTAGAAAGGACATGGAAAAGGAGGCTGGGGAGGACAGGATGCTGATTCTGGCCTATGGAATTGTATAATGTGCAATTATTGGAGTAAATCAAGTGGCTGCAGATTCTAGCAGTTTGGAGGTGATGAAAGCTTGCATGGGTTTTACAGAATTGGGAAAGCTACTAATTAGTAATTAATTGGAATTGGATAAAGTGAAGGAAGGTTTTCAGACTGGCTATTTAGTCAAAAAAAAATCCATGGGGGTAAGATTTAAGGATTTGCTTTAGGGGGAAAAAATAGGATTATGCCCTTTTATGAATTCTGATTAGTTTACAACTGAGCCTTTCCCATCCTGTCTTGCAGAAACAATTAATCCAGATAATTGGATCCAGAGCAAAAGCTTCTATGGTAAGCAGAGACAATGCATTTAGTAATTAACTTTCTTTTAAGGCAGTCATTAGCCCTGATATTAGTGCATGGGTTTACATTTATTATCATTTACCAGAGTAGCAGTATCCTTCATTGGGATACACATTCATTTCAGTAGGCCTTTTAATGGAAATGTCAGATGATCAGAATTTAAGAAAGTAATTATTTCTTCAACTGAAATGTAAAAATGCTGAAAATAATCTTGTTGGATGTGCTTTATTTCTCTCTCTCCAGCTCCATGTTTGCCTTATGAAATGTACAATTGCACAGCAACCTTGCTAATATAGTTAATTCTAATATAAATTTAATAGCATAAAATTATGTTTTCATCCTGGTCCCACCAGCTGCCTATTGAGGGTTGGGGTTGATCTTTTTCATAGCTCCCAAATTCTGGATGGGGGCTTTTGGCCCAGAAAAAGTTGGGAGCGGAGAGCAGAGCATTCTTGGAATATTCCTAGGCACTTGGTGGAGTATATTTGTCTCGGTGTGTGTGTGTGTGTGTGTGTGTGTGTGTGTGTGTGTGCGCGCGCGCCATGCTGCTCCCATCTGTTTCTTAAGACAAGCTCAGAAGTTCTAGTCCAGAGTGCAATGGGTTGGCAAAGGGTGTTCAATCTGGACTAGGAGTTAATAAGGCCACACCTGGACTACTGCATCCAGTTTGGTCACCACATTAAAAAAAATATGTTGAGAAAAAGTGCAGAGAAAAGCAACTAGGATGGTTAAAGACCTGGAGACAAAAACATATGAAGAACATTTGCAGGAACTGGGTATGGCAAGTCTAGGGAAAAGAAGGACTAGGGGTGATGTGATAACAGTATTCCAGTATTTGAGAGTTGCCACAAAGAAGAGGGGGATCAGTTTATTTTCCAAAGCACCAGAAGGCAAGACAAGAAACTAATCAAGGAGAGAAGCAACCTGGAATTAAGGAGAAACACTTCCTAACAGTGAGGACAATCAACCAGTGGAACAGCTTTGCCTTCAGAAGTTGTAGGTGCTTCATTGCTGGAGGCTTTTAAG